ATCATACTCAATCTTCCCAAGCAATTACTCAATCTACCGTAAGGACAGAAACATCCATGGAGGTGGTGTTTTCATAGCAATCATCGACACGCTAATTGTCACTGAATGTCCAGAGTTTGACTCAGACTGTGAGATACAGTGGTGCAATGTGCAACTTGCAAATGCCAAGCCACTGTATATTGGTAGCTACTACTGCCCCCCCAACAACAGACAACAAGGTCTTGAAGGCTTGCACCAGTCATTGTCCAAGATTATGACAAGGCACCGGCGCAGCCACCCTAACATCTTGATAGCCGGCGACTTTAATCACCCAGACATCAACTGGGATGACCAGTCGACTACAAATCCAGCCACTTCTACTTGTCACCAGAAGCTGTTGGATATCCTTTTGCACAACTCCTTGTCTCAAACAGTCAGGGAAGTCACCCGACCTTCATCCAACAACATCCTGGATCTAGTTGTGACGTCGAATCCCGCCCTGGTTGAGAATGTGTGCGTAAAGTCTGGGATATCAGACCACAACATCGTCACTTTTACTCTTGCTGCAAATCCAAAGATCTCTGTCAAGCCCCTGAGGAAGATCTACCAGTTCCACAAAGCTGACGAACAGCAACTGAGAGATGCAGCAGCCGAATTTGCGACGGAATTCCTCCAATCAGATCCAGAAAGAAGATCAGTGGAGACAAACTGGTCCATCATTGTCAACTTCTTGAACAGGTGTTTGTCTGAGCTTATTCCTTCCAAAATGAGCAAAGGAAGGAAACATCTTCCTTGGATTACTCCTCCTTTGAAACGCCAGATGAGGAAGAGAGATAGCCTATTCAAGAAGGCACACAGCCAGTCTTGCTCCACAGCTTGGACAGCCTACCGACAATTCAGGAACCAAGTTGCCAAGAATGTGCACAGAGCACGTTGTGAGTACGTCAACAACATCATCGGGGCAAGCCTTAAGGACAACCCAAAGTCTTTCTGGTCTTACATCAAGACATGTCGTTCTGAAAACATTGGTATTCCTACCTTGCGTACTCCATCTAAACTATGCGCCTCAGCATTAGACAAGGCAGAGACACTGAACGACTACTTCCAGTCTGTCTTTACTCCTCACCAGCTCCAACCTCTTGTACAGAAAGGACCTTCTCCTTTTCCAACTATTGGTCACCTGCATGTTCACAGGACTGGTGTCGAGAAACGCCTCCAACAACTGGACCCTTCAAAGGCCAGCGGACCTGATGAACTCCCACCCAAGCTCCTTAAGTTGGTAGCTCGCGAGATTGCTTCTCCACTGTCCTTCCTGTTTCAACAAAGCTACAACAGTGGCATCGTTCCAGCCCAATGGAAACAGGCACTGGTTACCCCTATTCACAAGTCGGGAGAAAAGTGTGACCCCTCCAACTACAGACCGATCTCACTTACCTGCGTTTGCTGCAAAGTCATGGAACATATCATCCTGAGCCATGTGTCGAAGCATGTTGCAGTGAATAATATCCTCACTGATGCACAGCATGGCTTCCGACGAGGGTTGTCAACAACCACTCAATTGACAACAGCCGTCCACGACTGGTCCTCCATCCTACAGCAGCGTAGCCAAGCTGATATAATCTTCTTGGACTTCAAGAAGGCATTTGATCGAGTACCACACCTTCTCCTGTCAACCAAACTTCAGTACTATGGAATAAGTGGTGACTCACTCCAGTGGATAATGTCTCTCCTCACTGATAGACAACAGGCAGTCGTAGTTGATGGATCCAAATCAACATGGAGGGATGTAACATCTGGAGTCCCCCAGGGATCCGTCATCGGCCCTACCCTCTTCCTGTTGTATATCAACGATATCCAAGACAACATCCAGTCCACAATGCGTCTCTTCGCAGATGACAGCACCCTCTATCGTGAGATTCGATGCCCTGAGGACCATCAAATCCTAAAGGACGATCTCCAACAGCTGTCCAGGTGGTCTTCAAACTGGATGATGGACTTCAACGTGAAAAAGTGCGCTATCCTCACCATCACACGGAAGCGTACTCCCAGCATCCGAGAATACCACCTGTCAAATGGACTGATTCCGAGAGTGAAAGAGTACAAGTACCTTGGAGTAACGGTTGCTGCTGATCTCCGTTGGAACAAGCACTGCCAAACCATTCGGCATAAAGCAAGCCGTACTCTAGGTCTTCTTCGCAGGACTCTCTCACCCTGTACCAGGGATGTAAAGTCCAGGGCCTACACAGCCTTAGTGCGCCCCCAATTGGAGTATGCCTCGGAGGCTTGGAACCCACACAGCGTCACGGTCACAAAAATGCTAGAGCAAGTACAAAGAACAGCGGCTCGCTTTGTGTACCGTGACTACAGATACACCACATCACCATCAGCTCTTGTGGCAGCTCTAGGGTGGGACACGCTTCACACACGTCGAATCCTCGACCAATGCACCCTTCTCTACAAGATCCATCACCGACTTGTCCCCATACCTGCACCAACTATTGTTATCCCTGCTACATACTTCGGAAGACATGACCACAACCTGAAGTATGTAATTCCTGTTGCAACTATCGACTCCTTCAAGTTCTCATACTACCCAAGAGCAATAAGGATCTGGAACCATCTGCCAGGCTCAGCAGTCAATGCAACAGGAATAACCAACTTCAAGGAGGCTGCTCTACCCTCCATCAGAATGATGCAGCCCCCCGTTGGTTCTCACATCATATAAGCTTACTAGCTTGGTTTTTACTTGCACTGGACTTAGCATATTTTACTGTAAATTGACAAGTGCTTTGTCCACACACCATTCCAGCAATTCATGACACTCCTTGTAGTCACTTGCCTCACCTACCATCCCAGTATAGCTTCCTGAGTGAGCTGCCAAAGGGATTACCCAACCAAGTACCAAGTACAGATGTAAACTGATATCTGTCATTGAAGTAGTTTTAAAACCATTCTAAAGACAATTTATCAAATCCATACATTTCAATTTTTGCAAGAAAATTCAATGATCTACCGTATCGAACACTTTTTTTAAAGTCGATCATCACCAAGCCAAAAATATTTCCCGTATCAATTACATTCAACCATTTATCTGTAACGTTAAGGAGGGCACTCGCAGTAGAATGTAAAGACCAAAATCCCGACTGACAATCAGATAGCATTTCATTGGTTAAAGACTTCTGTAAGGGTTGCCCGTTAAAACTTGAACGGTCACGCCCACTCACACATACAAACACACGCACACACATGCAGTCTGTGTAAGCAATCATCAACTAGGTCCAATTCCACGTCTCTAATTAATAATCTCGCATCAAAAGTTATAAAACCACTCAATATTTTCAGAGAATGATAATTTTTTGACTACCTCCTAGCAATGTTCAGACAATATTTGGCTTCGGAGGAGAAATTCCCGTCGATATTTCGAAGCCGTAAGTCTCTCATTTGAACACCAGCACTGGCAGCAGAGACTCGATACTACGCTGCTGTACACGTATACAGGGAAAATATCAATAGCGGGGACAAAAACTAATTGCAAATTATGCAAATTATGCAAATTAAGCTGCTTTCCACTACTTTCCTATTGTGCTTACTATGTTGTGAATCAGAAGATTATTCCTGGAATCACTGCAGTTAAGTGATTTATTTTGCAATCATTTTTGGGGTACCCCCTACAATTTGCTATTTTGACTGTCTCTTTGAAACTAAAAATATATATAACTATAGTACACGTATATATATTGTCATTGTTATACTTCATACGAGTCTTTCGCTTGTAACGCACAAGTAATGTTTTAATAGTATTTTTTACATGAATATTTTTATGTTTGTATCTTTGTTCTGCTTGCAAGAATATTAAATATATATTTCGATATAGTTGGTGCTAAAAGCTGTGTGTCTTGTTTGATTATGCCTACAATGCAGTTGCTGGTTACTCTTTGTTGAAAACGATTGATTAAGTTTATTTCCGGAACAAGATAGTTGTTCAATGTATTTGTGTGAGGGGATAGGTTAGAGAGGGGAAGAAAAACAGAGAGAGAGAGAGAGAGAGAGGGGGGGGGGGGGGGGAAGGAAAGAGAGAAAGAGGAAAAAAACAGAGAGGGGAAAGAAGAGAGATAGAAGACAAGAACAGAAAGGGTGGGGGCAACATATACACTTGAAAGAAAGAAGGAAATACACACATGTTCCTTAAAAACAGACATACTTGTAAAGGCAGAAAGAAAAGAGGAAAAGAGAAAGAGATAAATGGATAAATAGTGAGATAGATAGATAAAGAAGGAGAGAGAGAGAGAGAGATATTGGCAGACATAGAAATGAGGGTACACAAAACTCATGCAGGGCAGAAAGTCGGACATTAAAGGGATAGTTGAGTTCTTGTTTAAGACCGCAAATACCTTCAAAGTGCATGGTTATTGCTCTTATCCTTATTTATGACATTTCTAGTGCCCTTTTAGAACCTTAAATTGCTGTGAAGGTAATTTTAGACCTTAAAATATGTGAAATTTAGAATAAAAACGATCATACCAATTCAGCACCACTTAAAAAAGAAATATACGGTGACCGTTGATTAATAAACTAATTAATACACAGGCCGGCTGGTTGTGCCTAATATAACCAACACAAAAAAAAGCCAACAAAAGGCCAATATTGGCATTGGCTGGAATAAAACGTAAAGGCGCTATCTCGTTTTTTCAACGGCTGGTTCAAAATTACCGAATATTTTGTGTGGCCCCACAAGTATTAGAAATGGTTATATTTATGGATATTGAAGCCGCCTCTGAACTGATTTTGTCATTTAAATTGTTTATTCTTTCAAATTTGACACTCACTGTTTCATTATTTCACCCCCCCCCCCAATATTTTGTGTAGCGCCCTCTGCAACAAAACTCAACTGTCCCTCAAGTAGAAGAAGAGGCAGAAACATAAATACTATGGCATTACGAGAGTGATCTACATAGAACCAGAGACGGAAGGAGAGAAACAGAAAGAAGGATGGAGATAAATGTACTCTCATGAAAATAAAATTAAAGTGGACACTCTTTATTTTTCAAAAGTTTCATATAAACCGTCGATAAAATATACATCAAAATTAAAGGAAAATTAATCACAATCAAATATAATTCAGATCGAATTTGGAATAGTCATGCTTGGATATGCACATTTATTGAACCTTTAGGTCTGATTTAGAATATCGCACAAATATTAATGAACATGAGGATCTGTAAGATATTCTTGTTCAATAATGAAAAAAAGAAAGAATAAGAAACAATGGGGAGAATTGAACTAAAATCGATTTCATATCTTACATATTGAAAAATTGATCGAATCGATTTTAAAATAAAATTTAGGTTTTATGAAATACTCCCCAAATATTACAGTCATTCAAAACATCATACATTTCAGAGGTATACTTCATATACATAATAACTATACTATAACTATAATCATATATTTCATAGCATAGTCTTAAAACAATACTATTACGGTAGTCAATTTACCAAGTTCTTGTTTAAAAATTAGTTTCATTGAGGACAGTATGCACATTGAACATGCGTCCCTTCATAGTGCGATTTAACTTTGCATAAAACATTCAACACCGTAAGGATCTTAGGACAATTATCCCCTGGGCAAGCACCCCCTGCAAATTACCAGCGTGACAATTACCCCCAAAGGACAATTACCATCCCCCCGGAAAATCACCCCTCCTCCCCCTCGAGGACAATAACCCTCCGGAAAAATACCCCTAGAAAAATTACCCCCCCCCCTGAGGATAATTATCTTCTTGGACAACCCCCACTCGAATTTGTCTTGCTTTCATTAAAAAAAAATTATTATCAGGATGGATTTCCCTGGGGGGGGGGGGCTGTATTTGTCCACGAGGGTGTTTGTCCTTGGAGCGTATTTGTCCTACGGGGATAAATTGTAGAGCGGGGTAATTGTCCCTCTGGTTAGGGGGAGTAATCGTCCACGGGGGGGGGGGGGGTAGTTTTCCATGGGAGGAGGGGTGTAAATCCTTAGGCAATTTTTCGGAGGGGGGGGGGGGTTCTAGTGGGTTATTTTCCGGGGGGTGATTGTCCACGGTTTAATTGTCCTGATACGCACCCGGATGTATGTTGGGCATATTGAATAGTTTAGGGTTAAAATCAGAATTTCAGTTAGCATGATTAGTGTAGGAAGTTAAGCACGGAGCAATTGTCGCTGTATGATGTGTGTTAAGGACCACTATTAATTTTAGTGGTTAGTTTTACCTGACTGCTAATGTGTATGTGTATAGTAAGCAACCAAGGGACCAACGGCTGTAAGCTCTTTCCAAGAGACTTTAATGAGGATTAATGCTTAACCAACAGTTCTAGCGCATCGATTTGCTTTCGAAACCAGTGCCTCCCGGTTACATGACGATACACTGTCCTACCACAATGAGCCATGGCGTCTCTTCAGTTAAACGGAGGACATAGTAGATGTGAAAGTGCCTCTGGTGGACGCGACGGGTCGGGTCTGTCCGATATCAATGTTGCAGTGGTTAACTCATAGCATGCCATGAGGCTGCATGCACGCTACCATTATAGTGCTTTGTACCTGCGAGCTAACCATTGATTCACTGCCATGTGCGTGCAAGCAAGCATTCGTAATAGCAGTTATTGTTCATGCTATTGGACTGTGTGTTTTGCACGCGCTATTCGTAGAACCATCGCGTTAATCAGATTATCTCCAAAAAAACCTGGCACGGGGGGATATGGGCTTGGCACAATGGGGATAAGAGTTAAAGAACTGCTAGTGTTGTCTCCACCGCAATAGGTTTCTTCGTTGGGACACAAGTATTAATCCAGCCCTTCCTATCAGTAGGATATTGATGGCGGATCAATTGTAGCTGGTGCATCCAGTCGTGGACCACAATTAGTCTTAGGACGCGATAGATGCCACCTGTTGAAGATGTGCCTCTGGAGGATTCGGCGAGGTTGGTGTGCCTGCCGTCACAGTTGCAGGAGTTGAGGAACCGCTGGGGGTTTCTCCACCGCCGAAGGTTTCCTCGTCGGGACACAGGTATTGATCCACCTCTTCGTAACCTTTCACCATCAAGCTGTAGGTGATCAGATTGGTCAAGCTTATGGCGGTCAAGACGAGGAAATAGTAGTTGAGATGTCCATCGTTGATCTCTTGTGGATACCATGGGTCAGCTGAAAATGAAAATATTGATAATGGAAATAATAAAAAGGTGGCTTCTTGGATCTAGCGCTGTAGTCTGTCAGGACGTTTCTGGCGCTTCAACATTATTATCGTAGTCGAGCTGCCAAATATGCAACGCATCGGATACCCATTTACACCTCACGGAGAAAGGCAAACGTGGGTTAATGCCGTATTGTCATAGAACGTTAGTGTCAGGCTGGGTTTCAAACCCTCTCCCTTTAGACTGAGACTCAAGTGAATGAATCAACCGTTATACCACAACACATCCACAAGGTGATAATTATGTAGAGGTGTCGTGGTCGAGTGGATACGTCGCCGGACTGTCGATCACAAGGTCCGCGGTTCGAGTCCCGCCGCTGTACTAATGTCCTTTGGCAAGACATTGATCTACATTTGCCACACTCAACCCAGGTGATGTAAATGGGTACCTGGTAGGAATTAATTCCTGGAAATGCTGGAGCCCTGTAATGGCAGCTAGGCTAAAGCCCGGGTAATAATAAATGCGCCTCGGAATAGAATTTCTAGATAGATTATTATTATTATAATGGATGCAGAGGAGCACCTAGGTTTTGCACCATATGCCACGGTATGATTTCTATAATGTACATGTAATTGTGGCAATGATTCAAGGTGCATTTTGTATCGAAATATTGAAAGGGGCTCAACAATAAACTTTAGAGAGCAATTTTTTCTTATGTGTATATATAGGTGCCACATTGGGTTGTATACGGAAATTGGTCGGTTGTCCCCTTATCTACTACTGCAATTGGTCTTGATAATGGTTATGGGAGGTGGCGATCTGAATCATTGGCAACCCCCCCCCCCCCCAAAAAAAAAAAGAAGAAAAAAAAAAAAAAAAAAAAAAAAGAAAAAAAAAGAAACGCCTTTGGCCAGTGGATGTAGTGGACCCAGGCGCCCGTTCCATAAAATTCCCCATTTATGGTAACTTCCATGGTAACCTCGCATTTGCCATGAAAGTTGATATTGATTGCAATATTACTATCAATAGGGTCTATATCGTAGTTAGCACATTGTATTTATTACCCCAAATATCCAAAAATCTTTGTAATATTTATGGTGAAGTCCCAACATGTGCCTAACTATACGTAATTACTTTCAAAGTAATGGGGATGATTCATGAATACCTTTTGTCTCTCCCCTTGTAAAGCATACGTTCACCTATGTTTCACAGAATTTAATATTGGTGTATACATGAATAATGACTACCGTAATTTTTATGACCACGTATCAAGTTTTCCTCTCCGTGGGTCCATATTCTACAGAAATTTAAACGCGATGCTGGATTAGGATTAAGTCCTAAATCGCTTTAACAAAAGAAGCTAGTTTGAGGTCAGAGTCTTCCTGTTTGTGGTAGAAGAGACCTATACCCGACAGTCCCACCCAGGCGCGGATCCAGGATTTCTTAGGGGAGGGGGCCCAACTTTTTTTTTTTTTTGCTCCCGAAAATTTGAAAATCGCGCCGGCCGAAAAGTCGCTCAGTGGGGGGGGGGGGGGGGGGGGGGGGGGGTACAGAGCACAATCAATTTTTTATTATTTTTTTTTTTTTTTTTTTTTTGCTCCCGAAAATTTGAAAAACGCGCCGGCCAAAAATTCGCTCAGTGGGGGGGGGGGGGGGGGGGGGGGGGGGGGGGGGGGGGGTAGTGAGCACATTTTTTTTTTTTTTGATCCTCAAAAAAATTTCAATTTGCACCCCCCCCTTGTGCGCCAGGGGGGGGGGCCCAACCCCCAAAAAATCGTAAAAATCACGTGATTTTACATGATTTTTTTCTCAAGGGGGGGGGGCCCGGGCCCCCCGGGCCCCCCCCCCCTGGATCCGCCACTGGTCCCACCAATAGGACCGACACAAGAATGAATACAGAAACATCACATTAGCTCCAATGGTCAAACAGCGCGGTCGGTTTCGAGCGGGTTTGACGGTGTGACTGAAGTATACCAGTGTACAATAAAGGTTATCAAATACCGTGGACGGGATCAAAAGTTTGGAGATGGGATTCAGTCATTTTTGTTTTTACCTGCCGTGATGTTGTTTATAAGAGGAACGATAAGTGCGGCCACGATACGCCCAATGGTTGCGTAGAAGAAGAAAATGCCGGTGGCGATTGCCTGCATGGTGCAGGGAGCTTGCCTGAAAGCGAATTCCAAACCTTAAAAAAAGAAGATGAGATTTATTAGGAATTAGGAAAGAATTATTAAGGAAGGAGAATAAGGATACAAATAAGAACAAAAATTAGAACTCCTTATATTACCGCTACCCCCCCCCCCCCCCCCCCACCAAGCATATATATATATCGTCTAACCTTCTCGTCCCTTTTCACTACTCCTCCCCTCTTGTTTAGAGGGGATGGGGTTAAGTGCCTGAAGATATTTCCTTTGAACAGCGTCAGCAAGAGAGTTACTTATAATTTTACAAAAACCACCAGTCGCAACCATGATCGACATCTTGCGGAATGATTGCATCGGAAGTGGATCCCAGGTGACTAGAAGTATTAAAGGACTCGAAAACTTTAACAAGAACTTTAAATGAGAAACATCCCTCCGTTCGTTTTAATTTTGTTGAACTCGTTATTAATTGCCAAGGTTAATAACGGCATCTTGTAGAGAGCTCATATCTCCGTCACGCTGGGATAACCAATGACTTGGATATATAAATTAACCCGGTCACAAAATTAACTAGCGATCAAGGGCTTTTATCAAGGACGTTACTAGTGCTGGGCTGGGATTACAACTCGACTGAATGATGACAAGTGATTTAAATGCATGAACTACCATACTACCATCACAAGTTTGAAATTGCGGCGTTAGTTCAGAAGTCTATCCAGACTTTGACCCGGAACTCCGGCGTGGGGATACCCTACCAAAACATACCGAAAATCGACTAAATCTTCATCAGTTGTTCAAATAATGGTCACGATTTAAAAGTCGTTAAGTTTCTTACCGTTTTGTGTCAATTTTCTTATCTTTTTTTGACCAAAATTGCTTTTGATAGGCGTAAGCAAGGAACTTACTTGTGATGTATATGAAGACATCGGCCGTACCAATAAGAACAAACTGCGGAATGAGGACATCGAGTGTCAGGGTCGAAGCGACAATGGTTTGGTTGTTGATCTCCTGGACGAAGGAGTCGCCTCGCTCGATGAACATCATCCGAGCCGTCTCAACAATGGCGGCGCAAAAGACAGACAGCGTCGCCAAGATGATGCCGAGCACTGAAATAATTAGGATTAGGGTTAGGGTTAGGTTCAGATATAGTGTTGGGTCCAGGGGTGCATAGGGATTCGTTTAGTGTAGGAAGTTACCATGGAGCACGTGTCGTACAACTCTTTTAACCAATACTATTTCTACTACTACTTTTACAACAATTACTGCTACAACTATTACAATTCTACCCATACTACTACATTTATTATTATTTGTATACTACTGCTACTATCATTACTACTACTACTACTACTACTGCTGCTATTTCTACTACATCTACTACTACTACTACTACTACTACTACTACTACAAAAACTACTGCTGCTGCTACTACAACTACTACTACTGTTGTTACTACTACTACTACTACTGATACTACTATTATTGCTACTAGTATTACGTGATGATGATAATATTTATGATAATGATAATCATAATGATGATAATAATAATAATAATAATAGTGATAAAAATAATAATAATATGATAAGAATAACAATAATAATGATAATAATACTCATGGTAATGATAATAGCTATGATAGTAATACTCACTGATTCTCTTCGCCATCGTCAGTGTGGTAAATTTTTGTACTGATGTAGGGGTAGATGTAAACATTAACGACAGGGGTGATAGCGATGCCTACCAGAGGCAAGCATTGCTGAAGGAGAGAGGGGCTAATATTTTGCCCTAATATCGACGGCTTCATCCGCATCGCCTGACTCACATAGGACGTGCCAATCTAGAGCATTCAAAATGACAATGACAATTTATATCATTTAATCATGTCTTTTTCCCTTAAGCCCCCATCACACCAAACTAGTTCTCTTTACATGTACGTTCTGGAACCATTTTAATCACAACCATTTTTAATGATAACAAGGATTTCTCTATCGATTAATTTTAAGCAGATGAAATTGGATGGTAACTACATAATTTGATATCAAAGAAACACACCTTTCCAAAGCTATTTTAATGCATGTTACCTTATGTTTAACTCAATAATGCATGTCCGTGATTAGCTGTACAGGATAGCGCGCGGTACGCCTTCTGCGAGACGCACAACTAATAGTTTGGTGGGTATTTCAGTATAATCCAGGCAGGTCATATCTCTATTAACAATGTCCCTACTGCAGGCCTTATAATTATCATTACCACATCATTTCCAGGTACATGTTTTTGATACACCTAGGTCCAAAGAGACAAATATGGGGAAAATACTTTGTTCGAGCATAATTACCACCGAGGAAGGATCGAACCCGAAACCTCTCGTATTGCCAATATACCATAAAGGATTCAAGGCCACCAAAATGTGTAACGGAAAGGAAATAACAGCGTCGGTAACTCTTATACAGGCAGAGATCCGGATTTGATTTAAGGCAGAGTGATGTTAAAGAATTTGCATTTCTTTGCATAATATAGAGAAATGAAAAGGAGAGGATGTACATAACTATATCTGTGAAATAAAATGACTGTAAGGTAACGCTCGAAACAAATTCCTTTAAAAGGGCACCTTGAAGACAACCCTTAAAAACGAAACAATGAACAAAATAATAAACAAAATGATAACCAAAGGCAAAAGGAAAAAACACTAACCTGGTAACGCATGATACTGTACGGTACTTGGCAAGAGAGAAGCAACATTGCGTAACCGACCCACAAACAATGGCGGAATGACTCAGGAAGAATTTCAGTAGACGTTGCTAGTTCAGACTGTTCAGTGCTTCCGTAAGTAGTTGTCGTTGTTGCTGAATTGATGGTAGCGGATCTTTTCTTCAAGTCATTTCCTGACAGGTTAGGTGTTGTAGGCGGCTTAGCTACGGTTATTATAGTGCTTCCGTTGTTATTTATTGTGTAAGCTGGAACGTCGTTAGAGGAAGTGTCCTTCGACTCAATTCTTGAGGCGTTGGCTGTTGTAGACATGTCAGGTTTCGCTACGGACAGTTCGATGCTTTCGTGGGTAGTTGTCGTGGTTGCTGGATCGGTAGTTGAGGATTTGTCCTTCGATGATGATGATGATGATGATGATGGCTTCACTAAATCTGTACCGTTAGCAGATGTCGAGATGGACTTTGGAGCGCACTCACAAAGGAGCTGCATATTTTCTTCATCGTCAGATTGGACGGAAGAGCAGAGATTGGGGCAACAGTTGCAGTGGCAAAATGTAGAGCACGTTGCAAGCTTACTCTTTATTTCATGGGCTGCACATGCCAGGATCGAAGCAGCTGCATTTCCTTCTGTTAACCAGCAAGAGAAGTAAAGAGAAGAGTAGTAAATTATTCTCCAACGCACAACCATAACCCATACCTATACGCCTTTATCCACGCAACATCCTCGTCATAACCGCAAAACCGAAAGCCTCACAGGAATTACTTACAATTAAACATACAGTCCAATAGCACAGTGATTTTTTGACAGTGGTTGCTAACGGCAAGACCATGATGAGCATATTACATACGATTAAACCACTTGCGATGAGTACGTATACAAAAAAAAACAATCCCCGATGATGATCGCCAAACAAAAAAAGGACGATTGCAAAGGTGTTTAAATCTAAAGGAGATGGCAAACTACACCACGCAGAGAGACAGAAAGAGAGCGAGAGAGAGAGAGAGAGAGAGAGGGGGGGGGGAAGTTTTGTAGGCTCTAGTCTAAATCGTTTGGGCCTGGCCTGTTCTGTGGTAAAAATCCAAATGGTGCACTATGTCAAAAGAGAGGAAATTCAAGCTTCTTTGATGGATTGTGAGTTTGTTTTTACCTGACTGGTGAGAAAGCAATTACATACCGACACGTTTTATTTCTTAAGCGCCATGAGCACCGAAAGGTGGACCTGTGCGCTATACAAGTAGCCACTATTATTATTATTATTATTATTAAGAAGAAGAAGAAGAAGTATAAACTTGTAAGCAACCAGAGGACTGACGACTTTCAGTCATCTCCGAGGTATTTGGTAATGAGGAGTAATGCACTATACCAAATAAAGGGCACTATAGCGCATCGACTTGGTTTCGAACTCGGAATATCTCCCGGTTACAGAATTACCACTCCACTACTGAGCCATCGTGCTTCTACAAACTCAATGTTGACTTGACTAAGCAGTGCTCCCACTTAGCCGAGTTGGAGCCTCGAGTTGTGGACGAGCTGGCGCGATCTTATGGCAAGCCGTTTTGTCATTAAAACATATTTCTTGATATCAAGAAATAAGTTTACGTTGTAAAGCAATGGTAATTCTTGATATCAAGGAATCGATTTCGTGATATCAAGAGTTCGATTTCAGGATATCAAGAAATATGTTTTATTGATAAAACTGCTTGCCATAAGATCGCGCCAGCTCGCCACAACTCGAGGCCCCAACTCAGCTAAGTGGGAGCCCTGCTTAACAAATCAATGGGTTCAACTCACTGTCAGGGATGCTCTGACGAACCTCAGTCCGGACATACTTGAACAGCAGCATGGTGAAGATGTTGAAAGCTACAGTCGACAGGTATCCACATAAGAATGACACGTTGAGCTGGACAAAGGACAAACCTGTCAAAGCTAGAAGAGGGGCGCACTGGATTGCCATGTAAATGCTACAAAGAGACAGGTGATTAGAGGAAAGAGGAAAGTAGAGATTTGATCTAATGGAATTCGGGATTTTGGAAACTTACTGTGGATTTAGGTGACACTGATAAACACGATCAATATAATCTATACAGACTATGGATTGCTTTAGCTGCTGAAAGAAATGAAGGCATTTATAAATCACTACATCAAAACGATTGTTGAAGCATGGATCATATAGGGTACGTGGTTGAAGGTATATTTTATCTCGTGTTCAATGTGAACATTGTGCATGAAAATTGTTTTGTCACTGTTTTGTGAATAACTTCGGGAGCGTATGACTACGTAGGGCGGGGAGGGGGGGGGGGGGGGGTGGAGACCCAATCGAAAGGCGGAAAAGAGGAACGGGGAATTAGAGAAATGAAATGGGAGAAGATGAAGGCAACGTTAATAGAAGAAAGAATACGATGATCCCTCCATATCTCACACCTTATCCTGTCCCTCTCTCGACCGCCTTTTTTAATCGCATGCCATTTACCTATAATATTTCATCTGCCCCCATAATAAATGAACAAGTGCCCCTTTAATGGCTTGAGCCACGATACGTCACTTATATAATTCAATTATTTAAAGAAATCAGACATATTGTTCTGAATCCATAACATTCATCATCGCCATGTCGGGAAAACCTCAATAACTCACTAGTGAAAGCAACTTTGGACGCTCGCACTTCCATACTTCTCGATCTGCCTCGCCGCGAAGGGAGGCGATGTCGCTTGGATGCCACACACGCCTAAGCCTGTGACGATTCGGGCCGCATAGAAGAATATACGACGAATTGGAACAGATATCCCATATGTAGGACCAATGATTGACCAGTTGAACGTAAGCAAAGGTAAGATACAGGTTCCTGGAAGTAAACATAAGAGTGAATTAAAAATCTCAAACATTTTGGATAATTTATTGGATTCTTCTTTTGGATGCACTTGCACGTTCTTGTCGCACCATGCCCACAACATTACAACAAAAATGGATTGAGTTAGTCAAGGAACATGGAAAACAGAAAACAGATATTCCAAAATGAATAATGGGAGATGTGAGTTGGTCTAGCGGTACGTTCGCTTGGTCAGCTCTCAGTCTTCGCCTATACAGCCGGACCCCGGTTCGAAACTGGGTCGCGTCTTTCGGATGGTGACGTTAAAGGTCGGTCCTAAACGTAAACAATCATGTCTGCATGTACACGTCTGTAAACACTTAATTACACACACACACACACAGATAAAAATCGAAAAAAGAAAGAAACAATGATCGGAGACGGAAGGACAAAATTGAGAATAGGTAAGAAGTAAGGTATCTGAAAAAAGCGGATGAAACGAGAGGAAGATGAATAAAACAGGAACATTAACATGATTAAAAAACGAATTTAAAAGGCAGCAACAATATACGAATAGGAACAGGGACTTGTAGAAAGAGACGAAGTAGATAAGGCAGTAGAAAAAGAAAGAGAAGAAGACGAAGAAGAAGGAGAAGAAAAAGACGAAACGGAAGGAGAAGAAACTGAAGGAGAAAAAGACGAATAAGAATGAGGAAGATGAGGAGAGAACAGTGATAATGAAGTAGAAAAAGAGGGAGGCAGAAGCAAACAAAGAATAATAAGAAAAAAGAAAAGATATAAACTACTTTTCGCAATTTGGAAGACGTGTTTTTTCCAATAGCGTGGTAGAAAGGTTTAAGACCGGAATACAAATGTCATTTTCCTACCAGCAAGATATCAAACAACCCGATTTTATGAGTTACGATCTAATGAAAATTTGATGGAGAAATACAAGCCATGGAAGAAAATCGGAACAAATATGAAAGTCATTATAAAAAGTGGATAAAAAGTTGATATACAAAACGAAATAAGATATACATGTACAATGAAAATGAACCTAAAGACCTTGAAACCATGGAGAAAATGAATCCTCAAGAGAACAATGAAAGGAGGGACTACGTCAGAATTCTGATTGCGGGTGCGCCATGTGAGAGAGTGAGAGAGAGGATTGAGGAGTCCTGAAAAGGACCCTGACTCGGTTGTCTTTCTTGGGGGTGTGTATGGTAATAGTTTAGTCACAAAACTTACCTTTGGGTATCACTCACTATCCATATCTATTAACTCCCACCTTAAAGAGCTCAAAACTTGTAACGCATTAATTCTGACCACCGGTAGGTCCAATTAAGTTCGGCAAAAATTACGTGTCTAAATTTGTGCCGGAAAAACACAACATTTAGGTTATTACACAATTATAAATTGATAACGACGATCCCGCGGACTTTCGAGAAACCAATAACTTCAAGATTTTGACCAAATTCTTTTGAAAAATGCGAACATTGCGATGACGTATCACGTCAGCTGAATATTATTTCTATTAAGTATCCAAAAGGGTTTTGAAATGAACCTTCCGTTGGTTCCCCGACGAAAAAAAAAGGGCAATCATGCTGATAATACTTGACCACATCAATTACTCACCTTAGAGGCTTAGAGTATTCGAATGCATGTATTTATTGTTGCTCTCTGAAGTTTAAAACTGGCCATACGATAGACTAATATTGCTCCTTGGTGATCATTATGGAGGGGGTTGCAAAAGAAGAAGAAAAAAAAAAGGGGGGGGGGGAGCGTGCATCCTATGAAGGATGGACCTACCTATAAAGCAGAATTTTCCGTAGATATGCATGGCTGTGGAGTAACCTCCAAACCAGTCCGTAACACATCCCGTCAGCAGATAGAACGCGGCATCGATTCCCATGACGATCAGGTTCGTCTTCTCGACGTCGTGGCCGTCGTAGTGCAAGAACTGCTGCCCGAAAATGGCGATATTGGTTACGATGGCACAAGCGATGAACGTCGCTGCAAAGTCACCGAATAGGATACAGGTGATGTTTACTATGACCCCCTGCGGGATGACTGTCCCGTCGGCCGTGGTCGTGTCACCGCTCAGCATGTCTTCGATGCCGTCGATTGTGTCCGAAATGGCACCGGATTGGGCGACTGCGGGGACAGGTATATCCTGTTCGATCACAGATTCTCCGTTCTCCACGTCGTCCTCGACGTCGTTCTCCACATTACCCTCGACATCATCGAACTTGGTTTCCATCGAAGATATCGACAATGATGATTGGACCGAACCAAGTATGCCGTCGTCGCCAGTGGCCATGGTTTCACAGAATTGTACGGTTTTATGAAGAAAATATCTGGTTTTGTCCACGAAGAAAGTAATGATACTTCAAGGCAACGGTGAGTTTATCTTAAATTTTTTCTTAGTCAGAGGAAAAACTTGCATGAAACTGAAGAAAAAATATGTTTTCTTCTATCAATCGTCGTCTTCGATCAATTCGATAGGCTGTAGTCACAGGTATAAGCCCTACTAATATCTGCAGTGGTCATTGTTGGATAGCATGTTTCATAGAATCTTGCGTTTTAATAAAGAAAATAATGGTCGACTGCACCTAGCTAGATTGTGATGATAATTTCTTAATCTCTCTTCATAAAATCAGATGCACAACTTGCAGGAGCCTTATAAAATATTTCTTCCTATATCAATCTGCATATCCAATCATATCCATGAGCTGTAGTCACTTCAACTAGTCAGACTGGCTGTAGTCACAAGTTTACAGACGTCTGAATTGATTATTGTTTCAAATAATGTATCGTAGAATAAGTTCGTATTCTTTCGATAACACAATATATGCACACATAATCTATTCCTGGTTTCTTCAACCCTCCTCTTGGCAACAGTCCACTTCCTGTCCTAATTTCAGCACCTGAAGCTTCTCAATTCTTTTTTGAGATTTCCCCTTAGTCTTAAAGTTGTGAAATGCATACTACCAGGTAGATCCTACAAAATGATACAAAGAAAGTACCCCTCGAAATTTGGCCCTTTAACGTAATAAACTCTACTTGACATCATAAAAACAAAGAGATATAAGTAGATATACCAAGTACCAGTAACTTTAAAGGGAAAGTGCATCATTAAAGGTAAATACGTGCATGCTATAATAACAACATATCATTTACATACCAACAAATTCTCACCCGGAAAACATGAAATCATTTACTCAATTTAATCTTGGAAGCACAATAATTCTTGGTGGCTTTCTAAATATTTCAAATAGCGGGTGGTAAGTCAGGACAAAGATTGTATTCAGTTTAAAACTCGAAAACTCAAATACTTCCGAGGTAACGCCGACACCTTTCTTTATTAAGAAGAAGAAGGAAAAAAAAGGAATCATTAACAGCTGTACAATAAGGTTTTACAAAAAAATTCTTCTGAGAGTAATAGTCGAATACATTTATAGGTAATTGAGGTAAGATTTAATACATAACAGAGCTTAGAAAAAAAAAACACCACTAATTACATCACTTTGATGTATAATTACGTCATAGGCATACTTAGAATATAATTACATACATATAATTGCTCCAGTTTTATCTAAAATTCTTTGTTTGCCTATGAATCGAGTTATTGATGTATTCCATATTACTTCAATAATAATTAATAATGATAATGATAATTATGGTCATTTTTACCTAGGGTAGCCTCATCCGTGGCAAATATGGAGTACTGTCTTGCCATATGACGTCAGTGTCGGGCTGGGATTCGAACCCTTAATCCTTGGATACAGGGTCAAGTGAGTGTACCACTATACCATGGGACCCCTACACCTTCAATGTCGATTGCTTTCCGGCTTACAAATAATTTCATGTTTTATAAGAAATACTCAGAAAGGTACTCGAACATTCATTATAACTCAACAATTACTGTTGGGGTGATTATGGAATTGATTAAAAGAAACGGATATCACATTAGAGTAACAACCTTTGAGATCTTTTGTTTTGATTTTTTTTTTAGCCCAAAGAAAAGCTGTTATATAGCCCGTGAGACCGGCTCATCAGTCTCGTGGGCCGTCGGTCTTGTTTGTAACTTTTAGATAACTTTTCAGAAGCACCGCATTAATAATCGACTTTGTCGGGCTCATGGACTCGAAAGAATGGAAGCAAATTTGAAAACAAGAACGACATCTACTTGAAGTGAGAGCTCTTCAGGATAGTATGGCCCCACCCCCCCCCCACTCAGTGTTATTTAGGGTACGCATATGCTTGTTCCCTCTTTTTGAAAGCACCCCCTATCTGAGGACTGCCAACATTTCCGAACCCCCCTTTTGCGGGCTTTTCCTGCCGTGGAGACCCCCCTCAATCATGAAAAATGCTCAATGTACCCCCCTAAATTCGGAATAATTTCTCAGGAGTCCAAAGAGATGAGAGAAAAAAAGAAGAAAAAAAACACCCTTTTTAAAGAAATCTCCGGGTGAAAAGTTAATACACCCCCTTTTTTTTTTACAATTCTCGGGCCGGACTTTGTCGTACGAAAAGTACCCCTTTACCGGACATTTTGGTAACACGCATGGGGTCCGTCCGTTCTCGGAGTGGGGGGCCGGGAGTATGACCACGCGTAAAGTTATGTAAATCCTAATTCCCGCATAGTTAGTGCAGGACTACCTATCAATCATATCTGTGTACATAGAGTTTTGCCAACTTCGTTTCAATACGTCACCTTATGGCGTAGAGCCTATATTATGGTTTGTGCTTGCCCAAACAAAGCAGTATTTGGCATATTGTGCCCAACTCGAACTCGGTTGGCCAACCTCTCGTAATAAATGATAACAAGTTCGTCTAGTTACCTCAATTAAACTCTTCGAAAACAACCACCTACTATTAAAAAGAATTTTCTAAAATTTCCATTTTCACCACATAGCAAACATTTCCCCCCAAAGCAAACATTTTTTTCACACCTCTGCCATTGACGTATCATTGAAGAAATGTTCTCCCTCTCCAATAAATGTATATATTGCTTCATAAATAGCCACAAAGAGGACATTTGGGCTAACAAGAGCTGATTGTAAGGTAAGCATTCACAATTGCTCTTTCTGGCTTGCGGGTTTAATCGACCAATACAAAATATTGATCCCCCCCCCAAAAAAAAATAATAATATACCGAATTATTTTGTTTGTCTTTTATAAAAAAAGAAAAATACACGAACGTGATGAGATGACGAGCTTTCCTTTAATCATTATTTTGGTTGTCGAGCAGTTCGATTTTCATAAAGTTATGCTGATGACGTGATAGATGACACAGGTTGAGGGAGAGGCATAACTGTATTGGCGTTCGCTGAAATTGTTACAGAGGGTGTCGTCGCCGTCGTCGTCGCCGCCGTTGTCGACCCGTCAATTGTGTCTTCGTCCGGGCATAGATATCCATCGACGACCTCGTAACCTTTCTCCATCATGAAGAAGATGATGAGATTGGTCAGGCTTATGGCGGTCAGGACGAGGAAATAGTAGTTGAGATGTCCATCGTTGATCTCGTACGGATACCATGGGTCAGCTGTATTAAAGAACAATATTATGTGAAACTATTATTGTATCGGCATGAATCAGACAGCATTTTGTCTCGAAGGAATGAAGATTATACAACTAAAAATTAATTGTGGATATCTTGGCATTGTAAATGTATTATTATCATTTATATTATTATCAATATTATCATTATTATCATTACGATGAAGGTTATGATGATTATGATATTATTGTTAGCCTCACATGGGGTCTCCTGTTAAAAATATAGACCGGTAGTGGTAAAATTGCGGTTCAAGGGTTTTGGGTGCAAAATATCCATTCAATATTGTTTAAATATTGCCGTCAGATGTTTAGATGGCAATACTTCAACCTAAAATTCGCAAAAAAGCAAATATATGCCCAAATGTTGAAGTGCATTCGCGATATCTATCGAGGCCGGATCAATTTGATAATTTACCAAATGAATCAATTAGTAGGCGGTTTCCCGACAAAATTGGTATTATCACGTATTAGTCGAAACATACTCTTTCACAATCATGATTGGTAATAAGAGCTTCCATTTTATTTCTTAAGGGGGGGGGGGGGCGTTTCCGGAACTGGTCTATACCTTAACATACAATCTCTTTAGTATTTATTTAATTGTAATTTATCTTATTTCCAGGCAAGATGATAACATACACAACATCACAAGGTTGGCAAAATGATATAACATAAACATAATGATATTTAGCACCAGCCAATGCCGGAGGATCACCTAAAAGAATTTTAAAGTTCTATCTAGGAGGCTCTCCACATTGGCTGGTGCATACATGAAACAAAATATAAAGATAACTAAAGGTCAATATAATTTATAAATGAATGTGTAACAAAAACTAACGTCTAACGGTAATATACATGAGGATCAAATACTATTTACATTTATACAGTTCTTAAGCTGCCTACTGCCTCGTCATAGACCTACCCACCCGCCCACATACACATCACTTGCTACGAAGAAGATGCTTTAACGGAGGAATACAGTTATTGACGATAATAGGGACTTGCGTGGACTGATACGTGTGACGTCCATTCAAGGTAGGCATTAAAAAGACGTCGATCGTAGCAATCCACGTTGTCGTTGTGCAAATCTAAAAGTTCCTTATAATACATGTACAGTTACCTGCCGTGATGGTGTTTATGAGAGGTACAAGTAATATGGCAACTATCCGCCCAGTTGCCGCATAGAACAAGAAGATTCCCGTCACAATAGACTGTATGTTGCACGGAGACTGCGTGAAAGCGAATTCCAGACCTTTGGAAGAAGACAAGATCAGGGGGTGTTTCACAAAGATCCTAAGTTGAACTTAAAAATTATGGAAAGCCATTAGCATCCTTGAAAATATTTTTTGTTAAAGTTATTTTAAAAGGCATAACATGTTGATTCAAATCATTCATATTTTCTATTATCATGGAGATTTAATGTTCTTGATGAGGAATTTATAAAAATTCTAAAATACTTGAATTTTCACTTTTTAATATATTTTATTTTAAGGCTACAAATGGCTCTCCATAGTTTTTAAGTCCAACGTAGATTTGTTTAGGGGGATGGGGTGGGGCACGTGTCCCCCCCCCGTGCCCGCCCCGTGCCCCCATCCCCGTGACTACGGGCCTGGTTAGCATAGTGGCAGCAGTGGGATATGATATTGCCTGCGGTCATCCATGGTGGTTTTACTTCACATGATGCGGTGACAACTGCTCCGTCAGTCTCCTTGGTTCTTCTAACCGGTGGCGTAACGTAACCCTCAGGCGCGGATCCAGGATTTCTTAGGGGAGGGGGCCCAATTTTTTTTTTTTTGCTCCCGAAAATTTGAAATTCGCGCCGGCCGAAAAGTCGCTCAGTGGGGGGGGGGGGGGGGGGGGGGGGGGGGGGGGGGGGGGTACAGATCACAATTTTTTTTTTTTTTGTTGCTCCCGAAAATTCGCTCAGGGGGGGGGGGGGGGTAGTGAGCACATTTTTTTTTTGATCCTCAAAAAAAATTTCAATTTGCACCCCCCCCCTTGAGCGCCAGGGGGGGGGGGCCCAACCCCCCAAAATCGTAAAAATCACGTGATTTTACATGATTTTTTTCTCAAGGGGGGGGGGGGGGGCCCGGGCCCCCCGGGCCGCGAATTTTTTTTCCCAAACAGGTTACCTATGAGAGTAAAATCCTGCCTCCTGATTGGTTCAGAGGTATACGCGTCATGAATATTCACGAGCTGAGTTCACAGCACTGTGGCTGAGCTGCAGTACCTAGTATATGTATTACGCATGCAGTTTTGCTGGCCATTTAGGTGTACAAAATGTATGTGAGCTAGCTGTGGTGCGAGGGGATTTTTATTGGGGGAAGGGGGGGGGGGTCTGTTTGTTTGTGAGCATTTCTGGTTATTCTGGTGCTTGGTTTATATAGTTTTACACTGCGGATTTTTTTCTCAAAGAGTTCACTTATACAGTACACACACGAATATTCCAATTTCACACATAGGCTATACATACAAACACTATCTTTCTCTCTCTCTCTCTCTCTTTCTCTCTCTCGCTCTCTCTCTCTCTCTCTCTCTCTATAAACACACACCCACCCACCCTCATGTATTTACAAACACATAAGCAACAAATGCACACACTAGCTGTCAAGAATACACAATAGACACACACAAGGGGTATGAATTATCTTATCAGGATGGTCCGACATGAGATGGTTGGATGTGGGTCAAAGCCACTGTGTTGCTCTGAGCATGATATCTTGACAAACATTTAATATTATCACCCGTAACTGAAACCAACACACGGTATTAGTCTCTTTTTTGTTCCACCAAGCTAATTTTTGCACCTTGCACAAATGCACTTCTCAACACGAAATATTTGTAACCAATTTTGATGGAACTTTTAAAAATTGGTTATCTCCATCCTCTCTTTTCATTAAAGTGGATTTTCCCAGGGTTTCATTCTCTTTTAATATTTCCCAAATTTGATTTGTGAGCACAAAAATACTTCAATCACAGGCATATAAACAATTTCTGTCAAGTAAATTGTACCAAGTTAGATTCGAAGTGAGTTAATCAAGTTATAGGCATAATGCTATGAAAATTGTTAAGAACTTATATGAGACACAAAATAGTCTTGTAGGGTAGAATGAAGGCACATTATAACTTTTGAAGGAAATAAATGGAGGCATGAGTGAATTTGCAAGTAAGATATTATCTCACGCATATAGTCATTTTAATGACTGATGATTTAATTGGCTAATTTAGATTTTAGTTCATTCAAGATAACTTTTGTTCATTTAAGAAAATGGTGACATTTTTCATAGATTTCAGTAAGTGTAATACATACTTGTAATCAGAATGTTCAATGTATTGACAAAGAAAGATTATTAATAGAACAAAATCTTGAAAATAATTTGGGTAAAAGTTCATACTACTTTTTTATGTGAAAGGTCATGCTAAATTCTTGCACATAGAGTGTTTATGTCTAATTTCGAATCTGAGAATAAATAGTGAGAGTTCAGGTTTTAATTAAAATTGGGATTTATTTTTTATTTTAATGCTTTGAAATTGTCAGTATATAGTGTCAGTAGGTTATGTTATTATGTATTCTGAATTAGTCTCAAAAGCAGTGACACATGCATGCAATATATATGGAGTCTCAAATTTAGTTGACAGAGGCAGTGAAATAAATGTGTGTGGGGATTGTATCTTAATAACATAAAATGTAAAATCATATCCTGTGCATGTCATATCAAGTTTAAATTCATGAAAGTAGGTCAAAGGTTATGAACCTGCTGTTGTATTTATTGTTGAAAGCTCAAATTAATGCAATGAAATGGATGTCCTTTAAATATTGTTTGATTCTGATTTAAGTTAGATAATCTTGAGAAAAGAAGTTTGAAGATATAAAGATTGAAAAGGACTTAGTCAGATATTCATGTTTAAATAAGAGATGAATCAGTGTAATGTGCACTTGGTATGCATATTAATAATAAAAGCTTGTCTTGACATGTGTAGAGCCTGTATATATTACTTTATGTCCTTTGTTTTCTTTGGCCAGGTTCATCTGTCACAAAGGAACCAGAACCATTGATATGTTTGTTTGTTTTGTTTTTTTTCAAATTTTTAATATCAATACAAAGAAACATCCAAATAAATATGATGAATAACATGTAAGTTTGACAAAATTTGTTTCTAGTTAAAATAAAAGTTTCATTCAAAAGGAAAAAGCAGGAGACCACATGTCGTAATCGTAAATGCTTGAACATGACCGTGGCCTCTGCCAAATTAACAAAAATAAAAGAACAACCCGTGCAACTGCATTGTATTCAATGTTAAATAAGATATAAGTGAAGTGATTAAAAGTGAGCATGGCTGAATTAATTTTGAGTGAAAATAACAAAACAAATTTAGTGAAATATTTCGTGTTGAGAAGTGCATTTGTGCAAGGTGCAAAAATTAGCTTGGTGGAACAAAAAAGAGACTAATACCGTGATATTAATTGTGTGTTGGTTTCAGTTACGGGTGATAATATTAAATGTTTGTCAAGATATCATGCTCAGAGCAACACAGTGGCTTTGACCCACATCCAACCATCTCATGTCGGACCATCCTGATAAGATAATTCATACCCCTTGTGTGTGTCTATTGTGTATTCTTGACAGCTAGTGTGTGCATTTGTTGCTTATGTGTTTGTAAATACATGAGGGTGGGTGGATGTGTGTTTATAGAGAGAGAGAGAGAGCGAGAGAGAGAAAGAGAGAGAGAGAGAAAGATAGTGTTTGTAGACTATAGCCTATGTGTGAAATTGGAATATTAGTGTGTGTAATGTAAGTGAACTCTTTGAGAAAAAAAATCCGCAGTGTAAAACTATATAAACCAAGCACCAGAATAACCAGAAATGTTCACAAACAAACAGACCCCCCCCCCCTTCCCCAATAAAAATCCCCTCGCACCACAGCTAGCTCACATACATTTTGTACACCTAAATGGCCAGCAAAACTGAAGTCCACGCGCATGCGTAATACATATACTAACTGTGAACTCAGCTCGTGAATATTCATGACGCGTATACCTCTGAACCAATCAGGAGGCAGGATTTTACTCTCATAGGTAAACCTGTTTGGGAAAAAAAAAATTCGCCCCCGGCCCCCCCCCCCCCCCCCCCCCCCCCCCCCCTGGATCCGCCACTGGTAACCCTTTAACCCAACACTATACCTCATGATAGACATGATAAAACACAAGTGACATTTTCTCCAATTATTGAATAATAATAATATCTAGTTGGCTAGCGCTATTGCATATCGAAAATTCACATGGAAAATGAACCGCAAACCATTATGTTTTGTTTCTAGCTCTCGTTTATCCCTTAATATTCATTTCTGACGATAGGTGGAACGGTCGATTCCTATCAAAAGTCGGTCTCTTGAGGTTTATGTGGAAAAAGAAAATGCGACCGCTCCCTAGTGTCGCTCCTAGAGTAATAGTAGTGGTGGTTATTTTACCTTATTGCTAAGAAAGCATTAATGCTTGTTTGTAAGCAACCTATCTCATCGGAAACTCAAATGTACAATTATAATATTGTATAGTATTGTTATGGTTATCGTTATATGGTGATATGGGACCGGTCCTTATTTCGTGAATTGTTTTCCGATGTATTAAGACGGTAATTGTGAATTGCGCCCTCTTGCTACCTACCGGAGATGAAAATAAAGACATCGGCCACTCCCATGAAAAAGTACTGCGGGATGAGAAAATCGAGTGACAGGGTCGAAGCGACGACGGTTTGGTTGTTGATCTCCTGGAAGAAGAAATCGCCTCGGTCGATGAACGTCAGTCGGGCTGTCTCCACGGTGGCGGCAGACAGGACAGACAGGGTGGCTAAGGCGATACCGATGACTGCAAGGAAAAATTTAATAATTATGTTGATGATCAGTCAGACAGCCGTTTTTTGAGGACAACGAATGTCCTTCGTTAACGGGACAAGTTTTTACATCAGTGAACATGTGTCAACTTTTCGTGGCTCAACATTCATGCGTATTCACTGTTGGGGAACGTGTCTCTTTTAAAGGGGGACATCCGATTGTCCTCCACAAACGTCTGTCTTCCTTGACTGACGGTGATGATGGTGATGAATAGAGATGCACGTGTACCCGAGGGTTAGTAATTATTAGTAACGATGAATAAAAAAAACATGAATTTGATTTGTGATAATATACATAGCCACTATCAGCAATAATATTAATGATCACTATAATTGTTCTTATTGGAAGCTTTTTCTCATTTTATGAAAAGTGGGGTAATTAAATCCAATATATGATATATAAACCCAAATGAAATCATGAATTAACTCTGCCAGCCTCTGAAGAATGTTGTCAATTGTGGCATTAAGGGCTGGTTAGACATTTTTCTCTCACGATACATAAAGCAATAACGAAGTTTTCAATTGAAGTAACACCGGACTAACCACTCCGTGTGTGGTATATATTTTGTTTAAGTCGTCTTTATAACCAGCATCTTTAATGATGGAATCAGACTATATGATGTACCTTTTACATCTTGTTATATCTTAAGAGTAATCGTTCTGTGTGATCAGCCTTTTGTGGTAACATAATCTGTCTTTCGAGGAAATAATTAATTATTTATTTTATTTTACTTTCTAGCATTAAAACAACAGGAAAGTTGAAAATGACAAGAAGCATACACAACACAATATGTACATTAGATACAATATCAAATATTATACAAATACAAAGAAACAAAGAATACCACAAAAAGGCAGCACCCCCCCCCCCCCCACAAGAAAATGGGGGGGGGGGGGGCTATATGAAGATGAACAAGAAAGTTACGATAACTAGTGTAATATCTATAATGATAACAAAAAAAACACAATTTAAATCACATTACGCAATCAAGATGTACTTACTGATTCGATTGAGCGTCGTCATTGTGATGAATCGTTTACTAACGTATGGATAGATGTAAGTGTTAACGAGAGGAGCGAACGCGATCCCTAGCAAGGGGAGATATCGCGCTAGGAGGGATGGACTGACAGCTTGGCCCAGAATGGTCGGCTTCATGCGCTCCGCCTGACTTACGAAGGATGAGGTAACCTAGTGAAAAATGGAAATGGTTAGAATGGTATTGAATATATGATAATAAGGTTAAAACTAGTATGGCGACTGAGAGTAAAATATCGTTTTCTTATAGTCCCATGAAGTAAAACAAATAAAGGGAATTTTCCGATCGCTCCGCCCCTGTACCTAATGTATGAGACATGCTCCGGTGGCAAGCGCTCCGTAAAGTCAGGTTGTAACTCGGATCAATATTATTGTCTAACTTCAAATCTGCACTACCTTTATACCAGGGGCGTAAATCCGTACCGAGGAGTGGGGGGGGGGGGGGAATGATCGGCGATAGCCATCACATACTAGCACGAGCACACGCCCACACTAATTTACGCAAGCGCGCGCGATCGCGCACGCACAAACACACAACACACACACACACACACCCACAACAAACACACGCATACCCAAACACATGAACATAAATTTATACATGCATACATACATGCACGCACATGCCAAATTTGACAACCATAAAGTAAAAGAATTGGACATATATTTCGAAATAGTGACAGCTGCAAACTGTAGTGTTTTATTATAGGATTTCCCGGCCAAATTCGCGAGTTTGTCATTCGAATTCATTTACTTTGCATTTAAGTTAGCGCACTTCAGCTTTGCCATGCCAATTATCATTCAATTTTCCCGATTTTGTATTTAATTTAGGATTTTGGTCGAAGGATTTCATAGATCTGTCATTCAATTTAGAAACTGCTCAACTAACATTCAAATTAATCGTCACTTGTCGAGGCGTCATTTTTATCATTCAAATTAACACCTGTCATTCGTATTCGAATTATGTTTATTCAAGTTAGGAATGTTAGGGGGAAATGCAATACACGTTTACAGTTTTTAAAAAATGCAATTAACTACACAATTTGCCATTGGGGTCTTTTCTGTTATTCAATTCATTAATTTTGAGGACAAAGCATAATTGTGTGTAGTCAGACATTAGGTAAAGAAGGGGCGAAATCAAGGGATATGGCATCTCTGAACGGACATGTTCATATACCCCGGAGAAGTGGGGATATAAAAAAACACCTACCCCAGTCACAATAGTTTACCCTTCCTCCATAAGGAAATTGTGATAAATTTATGATGAAACACAAGACAAACAACTTCCTTTCATGAAAATTTACACAAATATTAAGACCATCAAGTCCGTAGATGTAAGTCTTTTTTTTAACAATCAAACTTAAAGGCTGATGAATATCTGATAAATCTAAAAGTATATAAAGAGTATAAATGCAAGTAAATAAAATAGGATGAAATACACATGAAAAAACGATCTTGAAAGAAAAAGAATGAGCTATAAAAAGTGTTTAATAAACGAGAAATGTATATTGACCATTAATTTTAGTGCACAAAGTGCTAATTTGAATGCTACAAATGAATTAGAATGCTAGAAGTACACCGTCGCGATGTCAGAAAATCGTGTTGCGCTAAATCGAATGACCAAATAGCGAAAGAAGCACTTTTTTCATTAATTTGAATGAAACATACATAGATTCTAACGAAAATTTCATAGATTTGAAATCTAGAAGAAGGAATATAAACCCGAGATATACCTGACTGCACTAAAACCGTCGAGTTTGAACGCAATACAAATGAATTTGAATGACAAACTCGCGAATTTGGCCGGGAAATCCTATATAATGAACTCCGAAATAAGACGACACACTTTCAAGTAGTAACATAAAGATTGAGTATTTCGTCAGGAAGATAATGAACTCTTTATTTTGAGTCCCATCACTTAGAAAATGATGTATAATGGTAAGGGCGTCGCTAGGCCTTTTTAGTGGGGGGGGGGGGGGGTGTAGAGGCCAACGATTACCGACAAAACTAGCCCCAATTACCGACAAAATTAAATGTCCCAATATTTACAAATTTAACCCTATATACCCGGGGCCGAAGGCTAAATTGTTTTTCCTACGGACTATCTACAGTACTTGCGTATGCGCAAATGGTCATTTTCCTCGACGACATAAATATACGAATTATTTCGTCAACTTAGTCAGCATCATAGCTATCTATTTTAATGCAGGCGCGGAGCTAGGATCCCATTTTAGGGAGGGGCGGTAGTGAACAGGCGAATCACTCAAAGAGCGCGCGAAGCGCGCTCATTAGGGTGTTGTGGGTGATAAGCCTACCCCGCGAAGCGCGGAAGCTTTGACATTTCCTTAAATTATTAGAGAAAGCAGACGATTCGATGTACCGTTTTCGACTCTTAATCTTTGTCTGAATTCGGTTTATCCCTCCCGCGCAAAGCGCGGAAGTTTTGACGTTTTATTAAATTATTAGAGAAAGCAGACGATACGTTGTACCGTTTTCGACTCTTAATAAGCCCTATTTATCTGAATTCAGTTCCCCCCTCTCGCGCGAAGCGCGGAAGCCTTGACGTTTCCTTAAATTATTAGAGAAAGCAGACGATTGGGTGTGCTGTTCTCGACTCTTAATTCTCGTCTGAATTCAGTTTCCCCTTCCCGCGCGAAGCGCGAAAAGCTTAGACGTTTGATTTAATTATTATAGAAAGAAGACGAGAAGGCGAACTTTAGACCGTTCCTGAAACGGTCCTGAAACGGTCTTACCGGTTACCGTGACGACCTGCAGTCGTCACGATAATATTGGCCCCCTACCTCCCCTAGATTGCGCGGGCGGGAAAAATTGTTCTTCATTGCTAGCGCGAGAGAGCTAGCGGAGCATGCATGCGGTGCAATATGCGGAAGACTGCGCCGCCCAATGCATTTTGTATATTATAGTGGGATTCTTATTATTCTGAAGTTTATGAAGTGCTTGTTCGCGCACGTCGCGCAACTATTCTTAATGATAGTGACATACTGTATACGTGTAGGCTATACAGTTATACATACATGAACAAATAACGCATTTCTCATGCATTATGCTGAAATTGAAACAATCACATTTTTTTCTTCTTCTTCTTCTTCCTTTTTTCTCTCTTTTTGTTGTAATATCAGGGGGGATGTTTGTACAGGCCATCCCCCCTACTTCAAGCCAGGGGGGGGGGGGGGATGCAGCCCCACCCACTCCCCCGGAATTTACGCCCCTGGTTATACCAGTTCGCCATAATACACTAAATCCGAACCTAAGCTATAGGCTAAACACCAATCGTAAGCAAAACCTAGTAATAAAATCTTTGACGAAACAATACCCGAGCAAAAGTCGGATCAGTACATAATGACAAGGACTTGACCGCCATAATGTTCTGTAGAGTTCTATAGAGAACAACGCGGCTGATTAATGGAATGCATATTTACTCACATTGTGCTTTTTTTTTGCAGAAGACATCCGTTAACATTCTCTTGTCTCACTCACTGATTTTAAAGTATAAGTAATAAATTGCCTACGGGAACCTGATGTTCCTTAATTAAAGCTACTTGGGGCACGTTTATTGGGTCTTGCCACTAGATATGTAGATATCGTATCATACCCCACTGTCGAACCCCACTATACGAAAGTGATTTGCGGGATGTCGCGTTTATCGTCTCTTCACGATTCAAAATAAAGGCCTTGTTTCTGCGCAGCTGTTTTGACCCGGGAAGCAGACAGTTTCTCGGAGGTCAACTACACACACATGCTTGTACACGACCTGGGTTGTCCGATTTGTATGTGGAGTTCAAAACTGTATGTCACATTCAAAACACACCTTTTTGCGTCTTTAGATATGCCCATATCTAAAGACTTTTAAAAAAGGCTTTGCGTTTATCACCTTCTAAATTTGCCTGAAAGACGTTTGAAAAACTTGATTCTAGCCAAAAATTTGGTCGATAAACGCAACCTGGGATCAGAGAATCCAGTTGTCAACGAGTGAAGATCAGAAGAATGCGACACCAACTAACGAGCTTGTGAAGTAGATTACTTTGGTTCGGGTCCAATTACTAACCTGGTATCGCACGATACTGTATGGAAATTCACAGGAGAGTAGAATTATTGCGTAGCAGACCCACAGAGCATGGCGGGCCGTTTCGGGGAGAGCTCCTTGTGTGCTCTCCGCTGTCATGGTTGTGTCCAGGTCAAGGGTACCATATGTAACTGCAGTCGGAGCTGGACAAATGGACGTGGATTTGTCTACCGAGGCGCTTCCTGTGGGATTGGCCGTTGATGACAGGGTCGACGGATCATCCACGTCCGCAACATCTACAGTTGTCGAGGTGGACTTGAGGGCGCTCTCACTAAGGAGCTCTACACTTTCTCCATCGATCTTTTGTAAGGAAGAGCAGAGGTTGGGACAACAGTTGCAATGGCAACAAGAGGAGACCGTTGCTAGTGTCGCAGTAACTTTGCTCGTTATGGCATTACCTGCTGCTGTCACGACCAAAGCAGTTGCTTTGCCCTCTGATAATGAAAAAGAGAGAAATTCTGTGTAAATCTACGAGGTGAAAATTATACAGAGAGAGATAGAGGGGGGAATAAGGCCCACCCACATACAGTTAAGAAGGTTCTGCTAGATCACAGCCATGGTAGCTATACCATATTATTACATTATATATATTATATAACCGTATGCATACAAATTGGTATTGGAGCTGCAGGTCCTCGGTTCTAAACTAAATTATATTCTATAGGTGCATGTTGACAAAGAAAAAATCATCTAATCTCTGGCTACTATATAAAGACAATGGTATGGTAATTAAGGATACTACTAATAGATTACTAGGTCACTACTGCCCCCCCCCCCCCCCCAAAAAAAAAAAAAAAAAAAAAAAAAAAAAATAATAATAATAATAATACAAAAAAAAAAATAAAATAAAAATAATAATAATAATTACAAAAAAAAAATAATAATAATAATAATACAAAAAAAAAAACTAGTCGTATACATAGAAACATTGACGTTCTAAAAGATCAAACTTGTCTTTACACGCGATACAAATAAGTTTATGGGTGAGAAGCAATGAAGAAACATGGATTGTTCAGTTCATTTTTGAAAAGGAAAGTAAAAATCCTTCCACTAACTGTCAGGGCTAGTCTGTTGAAACACGCTCCTGGCATACTTGAAGAACAGCATGGTGACGATGTTGACAACTAAAGTCACCAAGTATCCAACGAAGAAGGATACATCGAGCTGAATGAAGGATACACCTGTGAGAGCGAGTAGAGGGGCAAACTGCACGGCCGTGTAAATGCTAGGAATTAAAGGAGACAAGACGATGATGAATTATTGACATGTTCAGCATTTTGAAATGTTGAGCTGATTCTGCTAAAGTTAGTGCATTTTAGAAGTCATGAAATACCGAATAAACGATAAGTTTGGACCCGTAACACAAATCTGAGCAATTATTGAGCGATCAATTGCACACAATGATCAGTTCAATTAATTCCCCCCCCCCGCAAACAAAAAACAAAACAAAAAATGTATATATATATATACATATATATATTATATTATATATATATATATTATTTAAAAAAACATGTAGATAAATAAATAAATAAATAAGTAAATAGATAAATAGATAAATAAATAAATAAATAAATAAATAAATAAATAAATAAATAAATAATCGTATGATCAATTGCTAAGCTTTGTTTTACGGGTGCATATACGTGTGATGGCGCCACGGTGAAAATTATGACCTCATGACTATTTGAAAACTTTAGTTCTTATATTCGGATGAAAAGTAATTGGTGAACTTTTTCACGTTTTTATGTTAGTTTGGAAGAAAATCATAGTAATGTCCCCTGAAAAAATGCTCTTCGGATGCTCGAAATATGACGAGAAATAATTGAAAAGTTTGGACCAATCTTTCATGCAGCATAATTTTTTGTAAAAAATGTGTGTGTAGACCTGTATTCCTGTGCTAAGTGCATGCGATTTTCAAAAAGATCTATTAGTTCTATTTATTTTGATCATTAAAAAAGCCCATCGGACCTCAGTTTTCCGATTTATACCAAAATTCTCCCACCAGGGCTTTGTATTATAAAGAGTTGCGTTTGATTAAAATTAATCGCAACTGTGAGATACGAATCAGTCGCGACTTTTCATCAGACGGGTCCAAGAGATCAAAATGTTCACGTTTTCTTTTGAACAACCCTTGGCTTTAACTTTTTTAAAATCAAATTTCAAACGTTTCAAGCATGTCCACACTTACTAATGGAAGCAACTTTGGACGGACGCAGTTCCATATTTCAATCTGCCTTGCCGCGAAGGGAGGAGCCGTTACGGTGATGCCAGCGACGCCTAACCCTATGAGGATTCGGGACATGTAAAACAGAACACGCCGAGCAATGATTGGTATTACAACAGAAGGGCCGAAGATTGACCAATCGAAGGTGATCACAGGTAGGATACAGTTTCCTGGAGGAAAAACGGAAAACACAATCTTATTCATTCACTTAAAACAAAATGAGTTCACATAATAATACACACAGTTATTCATTTTGTATACAAAGTGTATTAGGCGTTCATCCACATTATTTTCCTAGAAAACTCAACGGTGCAGCCATTTAATGCGTACTCCAAATGATTTCAGTTTTTCGTTGCTGTTCAGATGCCACAACAAGTTTAGCCGTTGGATGAATACTGACGTCGCCTCAGTTTTCTCCTAGCCTTCTCCTCTCAGTTGAGTCCCTTCTGGGTCGATAACTCCAAGGATTATTCTTACATCTTCCAGGGGCGGATCTAGGGGGGGGGGGGGGGTTCGGCGGTTTAACCCCCACCCCCCCCCCCCTCTTGGGCGGCCAAGTGAAAAAAAAAGGGGGGGGGGGGAGAGAAAGAAAAAAACAAACAGTAAAACGGCGCGATTTTTGGAAAATCCTGCATCCGCCACTGGGTCAACCCCCCCCCCCTTGGCAAAAAAGCGAGATCCGCTCCTGTCTTCCTTCAAACATCAATCGGTAGCCATGCAGACGACCCGAACCCTCAACCTGATATTGGATAAAGTCTACAACCTCACAGATGTCACTGTAGTTTTTTTTTCCTCCTTGATCGAGGGAGAGGCTTAGCTGTCTGGGCATGCCTTTTCAAATGACGGAAAGAAATTACAATTCCGCACTCTGTGGTAAGAATCATATAACTGTGTCTTTGTACGTGAGTCCCATTTCAAAGTATATTTATCATTGCGTTTCGTTAAATGGTCAGAACAAAGTCAGTAGTTTTAACAAGACGACTCTATAAATCAAACTCCCGTAAGTGATGTTTTCCTGGCATCTACTATCATGCGGAGCATCGTCCACGAGCCGCGTAGCGGCGAGGCGATTTTGTTTTTTGTTTTTTGTTTTTTTGTTTGGGGGGGGGGGGGGGGGGAGGGGTGTTTTTCTATGTACATCACATTAAAAACTTGGCAGCCAAAGAGGGAGGGGGGGGGGGGTTAAACCCCCCTAACCCCCCGTAGATCCGCCCCTGATATATAATCCTCTTCTTCTTTCTTTATTTTTCTAAGTCATTATGTCAGGGTGTATTTTTCCCGTCTGGTGCTATAATATGTTAGTCTGTGGGATATCTTTGTGAAGATTAAATAGTTTACAGAAGTTGTAGCAAGCTGACCTTCCTTCCCAATAGCGTCTAACCATAATTTGCATATATCCAATTTATCCCATTTATCCATGGTTTCCCCTAGATCCGCCACTGGACATACAATGAATAGGATTTTGTGAAAGAAAGTACCAACAAAATTATTTAAAAGAAAGCGTCATTTGTGGCTGTCAGCTGTGTGACAATTTCGAAAACGAAGCACGAGACTTGAAGTTTTATTAAATTATTAGAGAAAGAAGACGACTCAAAGTACCGATCCCGGCGTTTTTTTTTTTTTTTTGGGGGGGGGGGAACCCCCCTCCCCCACCGCCCCCTGGCTACGCGCCTGCTTATTTGTGACACTGACAGGACACTCATTGGAGTGGGGTCCAGAAACATGTAGGCCTCTAAATAAGCATTTTTCTTGCCTGACTGTAAATTTGGGAATTTGTCATTTCCAACATATGCATTTAAAAGTATAGTTTACTAAGAAGTGAGGAAAAATCCCGGAAAATTATGATATTTCATAAATCAACAACGTTTGAGTACCGGGGGGGGGGGGGGGGGGTGGGGGGAGGGGGGTATACAATTCCTACAAAAAGCATGAGGTACTGCATGTTTATTTTATTTTTTTAGGGGCTGAATAGCTAGGGCCCCTGGGGGCATGGCCTATACGCCATTGGTCCAGACACAAGAAACGATTTTGAGTTATGGTGGCGTGTTCCCCGGTGTAAGGATTGCACTTTTTAGAAAAAATCTGCAAAACATATCGCATAATTTGACAATTAGCTCAAAGAAAAAAAACTTTAAAAAGAGGTTGGCGTGAATTGACCAATGAGAGATCGAGTAGTCCAGAGCATGCAAACATGGCGTCGTCCACCGATCCCGATTGGTGTGAAAATGACAAGCCAAAAGGTGAAAAATCATCGTGTTTCATACGCTACACTAAGTTGTACGAGAAAACTTCATCTTTTACCAAGCAAAGTTGGTCAACTTTTTTGAAGTTCACTGCACAATGGTGGAAATACGACTGCTGGCAAGGTGAAATAGCTCGGAAGTTCGTACAAAACATCGATCTACCTGCCAGTGCCACTGTGGATCAGCTGGCGCTGGCAGAGCTGCTCGCCGAACTCCCACTGCCACAGGCCGTGTATCATCGGTGAGAAATTGAGATTTGATAATGTTTACACTCGTACAGTTGCCGTAGAACTCGTGATATGGGCGCTTGAGCGTAGAGAGAATTTAGTGATTACTGTACCTCTTTGACTTTGGTACGGATATAAACTGTACTCTGTAGTGTTAAAATTTCCTCCAGCTCTAACTCCGGGAAGCTCCAGGTGTTGGAGCTTCCCGGAGCTACCTCCAGCTCCAGTTTAAGGGATCTTTTTTTAACAATGTTAAATCTGAGATACACGGTCCTACATGTTACCAGTGTCTGTAATATGGTGTGATATTGAAGCCCTAAAAATATCGCGCTTCAAAATGATCAAGAAGTGCCTCAAAAAAGTAAAAATCTTTGAGTGACCGGTTTTACCATACTTTTAGTCTAGATCTACTTGTTTTTCCCAATAGACTAGTAATATGAAAACCATTTGGCGAAAGGTTTTCAAAATTTGTAATTCCAATCATTAATATCTTGATAATCAGGCGATCGGCTTGTAAAAGTCATGGAGTTCCTGACTGACCTAAAGGTTTATAATTATCATTGCAGCATGAGCTAAATCAAGGATTATTTCTAAAAAGGATCTAAGACAAAGTTACCCGGATCCCTTTAAGTTAACAATAACATCACATTGGTTGGAGAATTTTAAAAAATTATTTTCAGCTGTTTTACTCCAATTTTTCACATAGATCTAATGAGCAAAAGTGAGAAGAAAAAAAGAGGAAAATAATGTCATTTTAGCAACATTTGTAAATTGCTGGTATCGCATTAGAAATTAACCACATTTTAATTATATCTGGTGGTCAACTGCCCCCCTCCCATCAGTATGCCATTGGTGTGTATTGTAAAAGTATGTTCTTTTTCTTTTCTTTTCCTCCTCAAGCTCATGCTACTGCCAGTATACTGATGCATCAAAGGTCAGGAGAGCTGCTGCAGCTAAGGAGTTGAGAGACAAAGAAGCAGGTATTGATCAGAATGAGAGAGAGAGAGAGAGAGAGAGAGAGAGGAGGGAGGGGGGGGGGGCATCAGATTTGAATTGAAGAATGTATGTAAACACTGACATTGAATATAGTTAAAAGATACATGTATGCTTGGCTGGAATCAGAAAAATTCAGCAAGCAAACTACAGTGTTCACCTTTTCTCATGTTTTAAAGTAAGAACAAAAGATTTAAATCTCCATTTTGGTATTGGATTCAGAATCAAGTATGAGAAATTTTTGGGAAACTGGTTAACTAACAAGCTATCATATCATTAACTTTGAATATTATTAAAGATTTAAAGACATCTTTTTACATCTATTTTGTTGTATTTTACTTTTATCGCTTATTTACCTGTTCTACAGATCACAACTTATTAATAGTCAATGGAAGATAATTATTGCAATCTACTGCTTCATACCGAACATTTAAACTTTCGAATTACATTTAGCTATGTCTTGTGTTTGTTGTTTTAGGAAACAAAACTGGAGATGGAGACCCACAAGCATCAAACTCAGCTGCTCAGTGTCTGTCATCAGAAGCCCAGGGCCTCCCTTCTGCACAATCAAAGGAAATGTTACCGCCTGTATGTGTACTTTGCAAACAGTGTAAGTTCATAAAATGTAAAAAATCGAGAAAGAGGAAGTTGGAGCAGTTAACAGCTTGCACAGCTATTGCTGCAGATCGCCTAATCAAAGCAGCCGAAGAAAATGACAATATCGATCTGCTTAGAGAGATAAAGGGTAGGGATTGTGTTGCAGTAGAGTACCATCCGTCTTGTTACAGTTCATATACTTACTTTCTTACTCGGAAACCCACTGAGAAGGGTGAAGGGTTTTACACTCAGTCGTTCAAAAACTTTTGTGAAATTGTAAAGGAAAGAATTATCCATAAGAAAGAAATCATGAGGCTAACTGAACTAACATCAATGTTTGTAAAAGAAGTGAGAAAAACAGACGGTGTAGATATTCAAGGTTACAGGCCGAGCAACTTGAAGCCTCGTCTCCGTAGTGCTTTCCCACAGCTCTGTTTCGCGAAGCCTTCTCAACCCAATCAAGGTGAAATAGTGTATGTAGTCGATATTCCAACACAAGAGCTGATAGAACAGAGAACTGTCATGCGAGAAACGCTCCTTCCTTCATCGTCAGCTGCTGAGGAATCATCAGAAGAAACCAATGGATCTCAGCACAGACAAAGTAACATTTCTTTGAAAGACATGTATGGCTCAGCACAATCATTGAGGGCTTCAATCGAGGACACAACCAAATCTCTTCCCGGGCCTCCTTCTGCCGAAAATTTGAACGAAAATGCAGCAATGGCCATCGTACCACCTCAGTTGTACAACTTTATCTCGTGGGTGGTGGGTGCATCCAGTGAACCGGAGATAAGAAAACATGTGGAGGTAGCAGATCCGAAACTACGACAACAAATTCTAAACGTCTGTCAAGATGTAATCTACAGTTCGTCCAATGGAATGGATGAAAACAAATGCCCAAACAACCCACATGAACATAACACAGGGCTTGCAACCA